TCAGTTCCAACTCATAGCAACCTTGTATAGGGTTTCCAAAGAGCAACTGGTGCATTTGAACCGCTGACCTTGTGGTTCAAACCAACCTTGCAGTCAAGTGCTTTATCTTACAGCACCACACCAGGTCTCAATTTCATGGAGTGGGGCCAAAACCAACTTGGTTTCAGGAGCCGGCAACACTATCTCCTCAGCTGAAGTCAGGGGGGCAACTTCTAACTTTAAGGGGGTTGGGCGACACCTAATCCACTTATAAGGAAGAGCAATTTCCTAGGTTCTAGGGAGAAAAAGGGAGTCCTGGTTTGGCACTGTGGGTTAATGCTTCAGACTGCAAAGTCATTTAAACTGCAAGGTCGGTGCTTCAAGCTCACCAGCTGCTCCTCAGAAACCCTATACAGGGTCGCTATGAGTCAGAATCAACTCGATGGCACTTAACAACAACAACAAGGGAGAAAGATGAGGCTTTCTGCTCCTGTAAAGATTTACAGCCTTGGAAACCCTACCCAGGGTGGCTGAGTCGGAACGGACTCCACAGCACACCAACAACAACCACCAGGGGGCAGGAGGACCTGTTTCTCACTTCAGAGGTGGGTCTATACTTGGTTCCAAAGCCGAGTTTCAGAGGAGCCACTATCTCCTGAGCCAAGGGGAGAGAATATTCCTTGGATTCAGAGGGCAGAGCCATAGCTACCTTGGTTCCAGAAGTTGGAGCCACTGTCTCATTTCAAGGGGCAAGGCTGTTCCTCATTTTCAGGAGTCAGGGGGATGTTTACTCCACTCAATGGGAACAGCAGTCTCGTGGTCCTAGGGGGCAAGACTACCATCTCCTCAGTTCAGGGGGCTGGATTCTTCCCTAGATTTCAGGGGACAGGGCCCCAACCAACTCAGTCCAGAGGGCAGAGCCACAATCTCAATCCAAGGAGATCCTCCACTTCAGGGAGTGGGCCCACAGCCATATTTGTTTTAGGGATGGGAGTCACTGTCTTCTCAGTTAAAAGGGCGGGGTATCCCTCTGTTTCAGGGGGCTGGAGGACACCTACTCCACTCAAAGGGAACAACAGTCTCCTGGGTTCAAAGGGAGGGTCTGCTGTCATCTCCTCAGTTCAGAGATGGGAGAATTCCCTGGGTTTCAGTAGGCAGGGACACTGTCAGCTCAGTTCCAGAGGGACTATTTTCTCAATTCAAAGGGTGGGAGTAGTCCTTGGTCTTGAAAGTTTGGGCACAGCCACTTTGGTTCCAGCGGCCAGAACCACTGTCTTCTCAGTTGAATGGGTGGGACCATACCTCAGTCTTAGGGGACAGTTGGACACCTACTTCAGTTAAAGGAAATGAGTTTCTTAGATTCAAGGAACAGAGCTACCACCTCCTCAGTTCTAAGGAATGAGGCCACCAATGCCACCATTTCAGGTAGTGGTGCCAGTACCTCTTATGTTCAGGGCAAGGGGCAGAAGCACCAGCTTCTCAATTATAGGGATTGGGCTACCACTGCCCTGGGAAGTTCAAACTCACCAACCTCCAGGGGATAAAAGACTTGGCCATCTGCTCCCATAAAGATTGTTGTTGTGTGCCGTGGAGTCGGTTCTAACTCCTACAAGCCCTGTACAGGTTTTCGGAGGCTGTCAATCTTTTGGGGAGCAGAAAACCTCATCTTTCTTCTGTGGAACAGCTGGTGGTGTCGAACTGCTGACCTTGTGGACAACAGTCCGATGCGTAACCCACAATGATGGCACCTGCACTCACCTAAAGATTGTTGTTGTTAAGTGCCATCAAGTCGGTTCTGACCCATAGCAACCCTGTATAGGGTTTCCGAGGAGCAGTTGGTGAGCTTGAACCGCTGACCTTATGGTTCAAACCAACTTGGCAGTCTAGCGCATTAACCTGTAGCGCCACACCAGGACTCCCAAAGATTACACCCTATAAAACCCTATGGGGAAATTGTCTGTCACATGGGGTTGCTATGAGTAGGAATTTGATGCCACAGCACACAATTCACCTCAGGTTTTGCCTCAGGTTCTAGGGGTAGGGTCACCATCTCATTTCAGGGTGTCAGGTCAATAGGTTGGACCACTTCTTGATTCAAGGGATGGGGCCATCTTTTAGGCACCAGAGGGTAGAACTGTTTATTCCTCAGTTCCAGGTATAATTTCCCAGGTTCAAGAGGTTGGGCCACAACTTTCTGGTTTTAGATGAAGGGGGAAAGATATCCCTGTTTCAGGGGGCAGGGCCACAGGCTCCTTAATTCAAACGGCTGTGCCCAGTGGGTGGGACCATTGCCTCCTGGCTTCCAGAGGTGGGGCCACTACGTATGTGGTTCAAGAGGGTTAAAGGAACAAAGACACTACTTCCTAGGTTCCAGGGGTAGGGTCACCTCCAAGGTCAAGGCGCAGGGACACCGCCGCAGGTTGTGGGGAACCTCCCTCTTCAGTTCCAGAGAGTGCAACAATCACCTTCTCTGTTAATCACCAACTTCTGTTTTAGGTGTGCGCACAAAGTCTCCTTGGAAGGAGCCCCCAACTTCTCAGTTCAATGGTCAGGGTGGATCTGTGTCTCCTAGATTCTATGGGGTGGGGCCACCATCTCCTCCATTATATAGGACAGGGCAACAGTTTTCTGGGTACCAGGGTCAGGACTTCTACTCAAGACAGAGGGGAATGACCACTGCACCAGTGGGCTAGGAGAATGGAGTTCACTGCCCAGGGTCCAGAGGGTAGTAGAGGGCAGATAATTCTTTCCAAGCCTTAAAACCTAATGAAATTTGTCCTGTTGTTTCCCATGTGTTTGGAACCCATGGCACCTTTTTCCCTTCTAGTATTTCCCTGTTGGAATGGGAATGCCCACAATATGCCTGGTATAGCACTGTTTTTGGAAGCAGACACCTTGTATTCTAGGGTTCACAGGTTCACAGATGGAGAGGAATTTTCAGTCCCACCCTATACCTTGTATAGATTTAGATGATTTTGGAAGTTAGAGTTAGTGGTGGCATGGGTTAGGTCTTTTGAGGATGCTGGAGTGGGATGAGTCATTTTTCACATGAGAAAACCATGGATTTTGATGAGACAGAGGACAGACTGTCCTCTTTTTGAGTGTCTCTCAAAAATGGTATGTCGAAGTCTTAATCCCTGTACCTGTGAACATGACTTCATTTGAAAATAGGGTCTGACAGAGTCAATTCGTTGAAATGAGGTCATAATGGAGCGGGTGGACCCTCACCCTGTGATGGTGTCAGTTGCCCTCAGGTAACTGTAACACATGGCAATCCCATAGGTTTTCAAAGCAAAGGACAGTCTTTGTAGAAGCCTGATCATCAGGCCTGCCTTCTTAGGTGCCAGTGGGTGGGTTCAAACCATCAACCCTTTAGCTACTAGTTGAGTGTTTAACTGTCTGTACCACCAGGGGCATCTATGTTGTTGTTATGAGCTAGTTGGTTTCGACCTATAGCAACCCTGTGCAGGGTTTCCAAGGAGTGGCTGGTGAGCTTGAACCAGTGTCTCCTAGACTATGCAGTCCAGCACCACACCTGGGACATCTATATAGCCCTATAAAATATAAAACAAATAGCAGCTGCAAGTCAAGGATTGTCTGATGCTACCAACAGCTAGAAGAGGGTCATGGAATAAATTCTTCCTTAAAGTCTCAGAAGGAATCACCACCTTATCTCCACATCCAGCCTCCAAACCCAAGAGAATACATTTCTCCTCTTAGAAGTCACCTAGTGTGTGGTAGTTTACTAGGCCTGCCCTAAGATGGCAAAGAAAAGTCCCAAAGGGCTTTTTTTTTCCCCCCTCACCCTTGACATGAGGCTCACCAAAGACTAGCACCCTAGGTGTCCCCATGGCTTGTGGACCCTTCCATCACATGGATGTAACAGAAATGATGTCTAGGTAGGTTGTATGGTCAACAGCATGAGCCTCAGAGGCGAATGACACTGTTGTGATGATCTAAAAGCAACTGGGAAGCTGGGATGAGGACTACTCTCTTCCTCTTCTGCTCACACCTCCCCCACCCCCAACTGAAGTAACTGGGCTAAAAGGAGCAGTCTGTCAAGCAGGTAACATCCACAAGGAGCAGCAAGGTTTTCTTAAGACCAAACAGTAGAGGGTACAGTAGCTGAGGACAAAGCTGTTCGTCTAGCAGGGCTCCAGGGCTCCAGAGGGCTAGGCGAAAGGGTTGCTGGCGAAGAAGAGTGAGGAACCCCTGAACAGAAGAGAGTTTCATTTTCAAATGCTTCATCTTCCCCCTTCCCTCCCTGCCCACCCTACCCCCATCATCCTGGCCACATAAAATCAATTCTTTTTTAAGGAATGTGAAAATCTGGGAACTATGATTTGGGGTCAGAAGTGTTTTCTGTTGGCCTTTTTTTCTTTTAAACTGGATTGAAGTGGTGTTTGAGGTTTGTTTTATTTTTTTTTTATAAGAACTTCGTTCTGCATAGTTGCACTGAATTGAGTCCACCCTTGGAATGAAGGCGTCATTCAGGTTTGGGGAACAATAGTATCACCTCAGAGTGGTCCTACTTGGCAGAATGAAATAAAAAGGCAGGAGGCAAGTTATTCATATGCTGTTTTTATTTCTGTAAAGATACACTGAAATGTTAGATGAGAATAGCTCATGACAATAAGTAGAAAGGAAGCATCAGCTTCTATAACCACTCCTACAAGAATGTTAATAGGTATTGTCATTACAGGTTTACGTCTGATACTGTCTCATTATACTATGCAATATAATAATGGAGAATACAGTAAAGAGGTGATCCTGCATTTCTTATAAGCAGTAGGTGGAAATCTGGTTTTGCCCGTGAGGATGATGGCCTCCCACTCCCCCAGAGATCCAGCTAAGCTCTTAAGGAAAAGTTCTAGGAATCACAAGATAAGGGACTTGGTGGCCCTCCTTAACACATAGACAAAGAGCAGACAACTACTATGTTACAAGGGATTCAACTCGTTGCCACTTTGAAATGCCATATCTGTGTCGATGATGGCTCTGGTGCCTGCTCAGCGACCCCTCTAGAGTTTTACTTCTGTGGGATGAAATTCAAAACTGTAGGAACATTTGAAGGGGGCTAAAATATCATCATGCAAGTTTCAAAACTCAAAACTATATCTCTATTCATTAAAACAACAAAAATATTTTTTAAAACAAAGGAGTGCTGGGGGTTAGTTTTGTTAAGCTTTCCAAAGTATCCGCTGTGACGATGTTTATCTGTAACAGGCTCGTTTTCTCAGCTCTGCCTATACTTTCCAAATCACCTGCATGTTCCAGGCTTAAAGGCAGGAACGCTCAGAAAACATACGGCACAGGGAAATCAAACGTTAGTATGGAGGAAGGTCAGCTCAGAACTCTAGCTAAGTTTCAAATGTTAATTTCCTGGAAATTCGTGTTAGTCATTGGTAAAGCACAAAGAACAGAAGGAAGGATGAGAAGAAGTTTGGATGAGAAAGTTAAACCATGCATTGTGGGAGATACTTGGTCTGCTCACTGAACTGGGTGAGCAGCCAGAGTTGAAGCAGCCGCTACAACTCTTGCGTGTCGTGTGACTACGCATGTGACTACATGGTGGGTCCCAGCTGAGCCACGACAGCCACCTCAGTGGGGGTTTTATCTCTTATGCGTCTTGCTTACATCACTAAGTGGCTAAATGATACACATGCAGAAGAGTCAATCTATCTAAGATAGCAGTTTTTCAAGGCAGCTACAGAGAAGTGAAATGTGTTGCAGAGTTGCTTCTTGCTAAATCCTAGTCTGATGTCTGTGTGCCCTTTATTTGGGTAGCACTGTAAAATGGGAGAAAAAAAAAGACAGAAACAACTTTGAGCAGGTGAAACATCACTCTTTCCCTATTGATGGTATAGTCTAGGGGAGAAAGAGGACACAAAAAACAAGGTTGGAATTCCATTTTACAGGACCGGTGCCCCTGACAATTTACAGCTTTTTGGCACAGTCGGGGCAATACACTTGCTCCTCATGGAAAACAAAGCGCTTGTTGGCCAGATTCACGGAGCATTTTTTGCAGTGGAAACAGTAGTCGTGCCAGGATTGTCCTTCATAGGCCACCACACTGGAGCCTTTACCAAACCCTGTTTGAAAACAAAAAAGAAAAAAAGAGACAGCTGAGTGAATACAGGTGAGGCAGCTGCAGTGCAGAGAGATACAACGACGACTTGCTCCCCGGTCACAGAACCAACAAGCACGCAGAGCCAGTGTCGCCAGGCTTCTGGCCACCCCTCTCCACCGCCGTGCACTCTACCCCATGCCGCTGCTCCCCTGCAGAGATGCCAGAGCTAGACAATGGCTCCCCTGATTGAAGCCCCCCACATTCCCATGTCACCGCTAATGTCCTATAACACGCACCAACCTCCCAGCATAACCAGTTTCTTTGATTAGGTCAGGGCCATGACATCAAAGTGGCCACCAGGAGGCAACCTTGGGCTGTTTGTGGGGTGTGCACTTACCGGGCCTGGAGGAGCTGCTAAGCTTCGATTTTTTCTATAAAGAACAACCACCCACGAGGGACAAGTTCTCTCTCCACCCGGATGCCTGCCCCGGATGTTGGCGCTGGGAAACAGGGTGAGAGGCAAGCGTTTCCCGTGGCACACTGGGGGCTTCCTAGCTTTAGAGACTGGGTGGCTCACTCTTGACACAGTCCTTTTCCCTGAGGATGGCAAAAGTCTTCTCAAATGTACATTTCAAGGCTCCCCGGGAGAGATGGGAACATTGGAAGCAGGGGATGGGCCCAGGGTACTTGGATCCCGGCCGGCCGTGAAATGAGGAATGAAGTGATTAGCTGTGCTTCTGATTACAAACCACTGCCAACAGGCACCTCAGAACTACCCTTCATCTACAGGGTTTTAGCACCCCAGGTTCACTCTTTCCGGCCTCCCCATCCCCAATCCCTCCCTGCCACCTCCACTCCCACCACCTGAGCCCCCAGAGCCCCGCGCAGTGCCTGCCTGTGGCCCAGTGGGTCTCAGGCATGTGAACTCCCAGCAGCATTGCTCAGCAGTGGTCAGGAAGTGTTCTGTATTGCAAAGGCTGACCTGGCCTGGGGGACAATCCAAACTAGTGGGGGCCTTTAGGAAGAAGGGCATTCTTTGGGGCCTTTGTGGATGAAACCAGCGACATAGGAAAATGAGAGATGGTTACCATGCGCAAAATCTAGCCTGGCAGACTTAGCAAGGACTCTTTAGCCTACCAGTGATGGGGTTCTTGCATCCAGCACACTTCTTGGCCACAAAGTTCTTGTAGCAATCCACGCAGTAATACTGGTCCTCCACAGCGGTGAAACGCTGCCCAGCCAGCTTCTTAGAGCAGGTAACACACACAAAGCAATCGGCATGCCAGGGCTGATCCTGGTAAGTGATTCCTCCAGATGTGATGGCCTAGACCAGGGAGTGTAGCACCGGATTCAGATTTAACCACCCTTTTGTTGAATGCCTACTACGTGCCAGGCACTGTGCTGGGCGCTTGGGTATACAATATCTCATTTAATCTCCACAGCAACCATGGGAGGCAGGTGCTATTATTATCCCCAATTTACAGATGAAGACACTGAGGCTCACGGGAGGTGAGCCCCTTTGCAAGGTCATAGAGCAACTCTAAGTGGCACCCAGAGTACAGTGTGAGAGCGCCACACCACAGCTGCAACATGGGCCACTGTTCTGCTTACTCTACCGGAAGTTTCCTCATCTGTCAAGTGAGAATAATAATTCCTACGTCACAGGGCTGTCGTGAGGATGGAATGGGATAGTGTGTGTGCAAGTGCTCTGCAAACTGTCAAACACTTCTAGAAACAAGATGTAAACACAGAACTCCCATGGCAACGTACCTTATTGCATTTCACGCAATGCTTGGCAAACTTGGACTCGTGGCAAGTCACGCAGTAGAAGTCCTCCCCTTTAGGGAAGAAGCTTCCGGTCCCAATGACTTGTTTGCAGTGGCTGCAGGTGAAGCAGTCTTTGTGCCAGACGGTCCCCTTGTACTCCACGTTTTGATCTCCTGTTGGGGGGAAGCAATTGGATGGCCCCACTGAGAGTGCTCTGCAGGGGGCTGCATCCACTCAGCCTCCCACCCCAGACCCTCTGGAGTTGAGGGAATGCAGTCCCTGCAGTTTCTGGCCTCAAGCTTTCAATTCACTTGCCCATGGGGCCTTGTCTCTAATGTCCGCCTCCTGCTGGTGTCAAGCCAGGATCCAGTCAGGGGAGGTACCCCCACTTTCTGATTTCAAGATTAGATGCCTGAATCCCCTCTCCCCCACCTTGGACCCTTCGTGGACTTCCAGATTCAATAGGGGAAACAACCTGTCCAGAATTCTAAGACGACTGGCAGAAGGGACCCTGAGGAAGAAGCATGCTTTGGTCACTTACTATACCCGAATGAGAAAGTGCTACAAACTGGTCACTTCATTCTCTTGTCACAGACAGCTCTCCAGTGCTCTTTAGTTTCCGAGTGTGTGCGTGTGTGCGAGCATATATGTGTACGTAGACATACATGTATATATATATATATGTGTACATATATATGCTCAAGTCTAAAAGCAGCTAACGGCAACATTAGCCCCCATCGTCACATCACAAGCAAACCCACATCATCTCTGCTCTCATGGCTTCCTCCCTGGCAGCCAGTGGAGGGTGACCGTCATGGGCCTGTGATCTAGCCCCAGGGGAGAAATGTGTGCAGTACCTGCCACAATTGTCTTGAAGCACCCTTTGCACTTGGGGACATCCTCGTGAGTGGTACACTTGTTGCATATGATCTTGTTGTCCTTGGCCAGAAAGGTCTCATTGGCCAAAGGGTGAAGGCACTTATAGCAGCGGAAACAGGTGTCGTGCCAGTAGCGGTTCTTGTAATGCAGCTCCTAAGAATCAAGCAAAATCGATTAAGCCATTAGAATCTCTCCGTGGATCACTGGGTGGCAGTGGCAATAACACTGCCATCAAGACTGATTCCCCTGCTGTTGGGACTTCTGAGGCTGCAGATCCACTGATATCTGCAAACGCCCCCACCCCACCTCCTTCCATGAGGACTGTTCTTGTGAGAAACATGAGGGGCACTGAGGTGAGGATGGCCAACTCAGAATTCTACCTGAATTCCTGCCAGGCTTAGCAAATGGCCAGAAACACTGGAAAGGGACCTAGCCAACACCACCCACATCAGACAGCTAGAGAAACGAAGACTCGCTTAGAACCCTAGGACCTGTTCCTGGGCCAGGGCTTGATACCACTCCCTCATCTGCCTGCCACTATGTGTCCTGCCTTCCACTCAGAGGTGATGAGGAGAAACAAGGGTCAGGGTGATATCATCAGGGTGTGGGAAAACTCCACTCAAACGCCCAGCCTCTCTCCTTGCCACGTAGGGGTGGCCATTACCTTGGAATCCGCACTAATGGGCTTGCGGCATTCCACACAGGTGTTGGCGCAGAACTTGTCAAAACACTTGACGCAGCAGTAGTGGCCATCCTTCTGCACATACTTCTTCCCTTGCAGGGACTCCCGGCAGTAGTGACAATCCGTTTTCTCAGCCATGGTGCCTACTTTGTAGTTGGTGGGGCCTGTGAAGGCAAGCAGGCAGAACAAATGACCCACGGCAACCCCAAGAGCGCTTGGCTGGGAAGCTGCGAGAGACACCTGGGCGGTTCTACGTATGTCCGAGAACAGTCTGAATCCGGGGTGTCGCGAGAAGCAGCACAGCTTTCTCTAGAGTCTAGCTGGCCCCCAGACACCACTCCGACCCTTGGTGAAATGGAACATTCGAGTCTAGATCCCCCCTGGCCAGACAACCTTTAGGGTGAGAGGAAGCCCCTGCTTGGACATATCGCCATGCTGACTCGCCAAAGACACAAAGGAGGACCAGTGAGGCACCACGGGGCTTCTGGGTGGTATGGGTGCTTTGAACAGTGATGTGGAGCCATGCAGGAGTGGGGCACAGCAGACAAGAAAGAGACTGTCTTCCACAAAAGGCATAGCCTTGGGCAGTGGCTCCAAGGTAAGGGGCTTTTGCTCCTCCTGGGTCCCTTTTTAAGGAGGGAGAAAGGAGACTCTGAAGTCTCACTTTCTCATAGCTGCAAAACATAATGCATTTTACCAAAAGTTGGCTGCTGACTCTACACACGACACTAGGCACAAAAGCAAGCCTCAGGAATGCATTTTCAATGGTTTATATTTACTTTAAACCTGGCAGAAAAGATTCCATTTCCTCTCTTCCAAGTTTGTTTACCGAGAGCAAGAAAAGAACGGTGAAATGCCAATAAACTTTTGTTTTGACGTGCGAAGTTGATTGTGATTCCAAGAGTCTGTGCCCTTTGTGTGACCCACCCTCCCCTCCACTGCTGCCATTCCTGCAGGGAGGGCTGTGACTGAGGACAACACCAGACAACACAACACTAAGGCACTGCAGACAACCCTAGCTAAAGCATTTCCTCCGAAATCCGACCACCCAAACAGCACCCAATGGCAGTTTCTATTAACCAGCTCTCAAAGATTTTAAACATGCTCATTTGTTCCTCTCCCTACCACCCCTGGAAAAAGAAACTGACAAGGGTCAGTAGATTAAATATAATTATTTAATTTTTACAGGAAACACATGAGAATTGTAACTATTTTCCCCAGCAACATGGCTATTGTGCTAGCACACATCCGGAGTGGCCCGCAATGTGGAGAGAAAGCAGCAGCAGTGGGGAAAGAAATGAGCAGTTGCTCCGTACTCACCAGAGCTCTTCCACTCACAAAGGCCCCAACTCCCACTACAGGTCCTATTCCCAGTTTGTTTTATACAAACACATGTTCAAGCTGTTTGGCTCCTGTTGCCACAGGCAACCAAACAGCAGAGAGTGAGCTAAGGAAACCACACCCTGCATCTTGAACTATCACTCAGAACCATGTGGACTGTGAAGTCAGTCAGCCTCCAAACAAAGCCAATCAGGCCACTGAGGAGCCGGCCAGCTGGATGTCTGGGTCAGCCTCTTTCAGCCTCCCGCTGACACCCCCACCCCCCAATCTCCAGTGAAGCAAACTAGAGACACTCTTGTGCAAGGGCAGTTGCTTGGGACAGTTAAGAGCTTTACTAAGTAAGACCAGAGGCTGGTAACTTCCACTTTCCCCTCAAAAGAAAATCTTATTTAATAGGGTCAGATCTCTTTCAATGGTCAGTATACTGTTTACATAAGGTAGCTTTTCAACTGCCTTTAGCCTCTATGTTTATATATTTTAAATGTACCTGTCACTGAGATAACATGTTGAAATTCACTCTCTTTATTTCATTCTTGTGGTTCTTTCCCTTGTCATATAAAATCCTTAACTTAGCTGTTTCATATTGTAATTGCAAACGAAACAAAGATTTACTCTCTTGTTAAGAGCTGAGTAGAGAAACTTAATATATCTTCCGTACCAGTAAATGCTAAGGAAATGAAATTTTCAGTGGCTACTAAAGGCCATTTGGCAGGAAAAAAGACTTTGGAAGATTAGACAGTATTGGCTTCCTGTGTGGCTAGTAATCATAGCTGGGTTAGCACTTCAGAGACTATCTTCTTGAACCATATTTGAAAATTCTTTCTTTTCCCTAACCAAGGTCTCTATTTAGGATAACACTATCAGTCTACTCATTTTATTACCATTCTCTTGATGACTTTCAGAGAAGAAGTGGATTCCAAGCAGTTTTATATTAAAGTACTACCTAAGGGTCCCACAGGAAATAACCTCTTGGTATTTTGGAGTCCTAGCTTTCTGGTAAGAATACTAGTATAACACAAAAGTTATTATACAGTGTACTAGCACGTACAGTGAATGTACTTAAAGGTGTCTAGAGGTTCTGAGGAGAAAACTATACTATAGTTCCTAGCACTAGCGAGATCTTACCTGCCAAGCCTTCCTCTCTTTAAAACCACCCACTTTCAGAGCTGTCGTACCACCAATGCCAAGTTCTTCACTGGAAACTTTCATATAGTTCTAGAACACAAGTCACTCAACAATGCTGGGCATCCAGATGATGAAACAATCCATGCCCCACCAATGACGTACCAAAGTGTGTGACAAATTTCAGTCAAGGAAGTCCCTTAGAACTGTACCATTCTTATAGTAATCAGTCCCAAGCTAATGGTACCACTAAGAAGAGTCCCACCTCTTGCTGTATTTTGAGTCCTTGTTTTCAGCAATATTCTTTTTTCTGTAGTATGGAAAAAACAAGGTCATCTTATTTTCCCCATCACCATATACTTAAACCCAAAGAGTCTGTTTCCAGATGGAAAAAAAGAGATTTCAAAAGGGCTTTTAGAACTGATTTCAACAGCTGACTTAAGTCTGTTTTTTTTCTGTGTGTGGAAACAACGTATTTGTCAAGATAAAATAGGCCCTTCTAGGAATGTTGGCTTTATTGCCTAATAAGTAAACAGACTGAAAATACTTAAAGTATGTTAACAATGTCTATGTCAAAATTAAGAGCTATTTTTTGGCATTAAATCTGATGAAGTGGAACTTTGGGCATCCTGATTATTTAGTACAAAACTATTTCAATTCCTTATGCAGCGTGTTTAAAATGAGGTTAGAATAATACATTTCTACTGAAGAGGTTAGTTGCAATGTCAAAAAGGTTAAGGAGTCTAGAAGAATGGCTTACAAATTAGAATACTGAGACATGCAGGAGTTCAGGGATTCTTAAAAGTTAGAAAACACCCAGATTTGTAGGGTTCATTAAACAGTATGAGCCACAGCTAGGCTCTGATTTCATGAGGGGAGAATCGCTTTACACATTCCTTTCTTTCCTTTGGTTAGAAATGATAAGATAATAGGATAAAAAAAAATGACGTTTTACTTCTTCTCTTGTACTCTCTCTAATCATACTGAATTACATATACTTAGGCCTTCAGCGTGTGGGGAGTCATTTTTTATATTCCCATAGCAATATCTAAGTGCCTAATATTTGAAACTTCTAAATATGTCTGCCTTGGCCTATTGTTGTTATCTGAAAAAGGGCATGTTATCAATCATTAAATCAAACATTTTATATTTGATAGTGTGATTCCAATACTACTTGCCTTCCCGGTTACATTTTTGTTTGTTTGGTCAAGGGTGTGATATTTGCCGTAAGGCACCGCTTGACTATTGTAATGCCCTCATCTGTACACAGTCATGAGGTTTCTCGATCACAGGAAATTTTTCAAATATACTAGGAGCCCAGAGTCCCTAACACAGGATTTTGTGTACAGAAGTCACCCAGTACGTGCCTGTTGATGGACAGATGGGGCGATAAGTTGCCACCCTTAAGCTTAGATGTGTATTTTACAACATAGATTTCTGTTTTAGAAAATTAGGGGACAGCTCATGTGACCCTAACCTGACAGTCCTTTACAGATTTAGCAGATTAGAAATGTAGCTGGGTGAGCACAATTTAGATCTTTAGTTCAAGAGGGTAGCCTGCCTGGCTTTCTATGCCTGCTTCAAAAGGAGCATCAGTGTTCCCTTAATCAACTAACTTACTCCGTCAGAAAATTCTACTTTGAACTACATCCAGTTTGCTAAGGGTCATCTAAATAAGCCTCAGTAGTTCAACAAAAAGTTGTGGCTTTCAATTTAATTACGTACATATAAGAGTGATATAACATTGTTATAGCTATTGTTTCATTTGCCTTTCATGAGTCTTGCATGTGTTTTCATATGTATTTTCTCAAGTATTTCTTGCTAATGTTCCTTTTCCCCCCTGGTGCCCAAGGGGTTCAAAATAAGAACATTTCAGGAAAAGTGAATATTATGACTAGGTAGTAGTTTTCTAACTATGTGCTTTCCCTGGGTGGTATAATGACTGGTGTAAACAATGAACAGTAACCCAAATGGAAAAAAAAAAAAAAATCAGGTTATTTCTGGTGTGTTCATTGCTAAGTGTTACACACACATACATTATAGTCACTTCACATACACAAATATCGACTTCTAAAGAAAGGCCGTGTTACTTTCCTGAGAACATTTAACAAATGGAACGCTGGAGCCTTAGCCAATGAATAGGACACTTGTGTAAAAGACAGGCTAGCACACCTGGAGGTGTCGCAAGACATTTGGGGATAAATACCCAAGTAGCTGCAATAAGACCGTGTTCATGAGTCACAACTGAGTAGCAGTCTTTCATAGAATTTCACAGAAAATCAAAAAGTGTTTTTCCCCTTAAAAATAGCGTATGTACACAAAGAGCCAATGTTATTAGCAAGTTTAAATGTGCACTGCTCTAAGAAAAAAACCCCGTAAATCTTTTTCTTGGGGGGTGTGGAGGGGTGTTACTGATATATATCCTTGTAAGGGGGCTTCAAAAAGTTTGTGGAAAGATTCTATTATCTTTAATTCAATTTTCCAAGTGACTTTTTGAATGTCTTAGAGTATATCTGACATCAAGAGTGTTGGATATTAATTATTAAACTAAAAGTTAGGTGCCACTGAAATTCCACTAAGTCACATTTTAGTCAGACACTATTTTGCCCATTTTTTAAGTCTCCCATATTATGTGTAACACGTTCTGTCTATCCTATGGGAGAAAGTGCTTCCAACCCACCAGCAATTAAACATGTGCTTTCAGTTTCTCTAGTCGAGGTGCAGTAGGCAGTCACTTGGTGGTCATTAAAAGTACAAAACGTTCAGTTTCACCCTTGGCTAAATCTTCAGACTACCCTTTTTCAGCTATTTTAGGAAGCCAATCCCATTTGTTCACTCCTTCCTCACCCCACCCTTCCATTTTTTTATCCTTGCCCTGAGAACAGATTGACAGGTGTGTACAGCCCACAGGACAGCGGTTGGGAAAGGAAATTAATGCCTGGATTAGTATAGTAAGATAAGCACTGGACCACTAACTGCAAGGTTGGCCGTTCAAACCCACCAGCCATTCCACAGATGAAAGATGAGGCTTTCTGCCCACTTAAAGATTTACAGCCTCAGAAATCCTAGGCAGGGTCACTCTGAGTTGGAATTGGCTTGATGGCAGGGTTTGGTTGGCAAATGATCTTACCGCCATCCTTACCCCCTCCCTATTCCTCAACTTGAAAGGACAACGAACTGAATAGATATAATTTTACAGATTGAAAGTGTCCAATAAAGAAAGCATAACTTTTTGTCCTTGAAATTTCCTCTTAGCAAGTGGAAGGACACTAAAAGTGGGTTTTGATTCAATTACCTGAATTTGTATTCTGTCTCTACAAAACCCATTTCAGGCCAACACTGATTTCCCTCCTGTGAAGCTTTGAAGACCAACAACCCTAATGTAATACAAAGTGGTATTTAATGTTTAAAAAAATTATCTAAGAGGTGCCAATAATGTCTCTAATTTTAACCACAGCTATAGCCTCTAGATTTTTATAGGCAAGTATGACATAAAAAATTGGCACAATTTAAACCCCAAGGCTGAGTATGCTATAAATACGTCACCTTTCAAATATATTTCCCTGTTCTGTCACTTAACTAGTTAATAAAATGGCACATTACTCTATCAGTTAACATTCAAGGTCCACTAAAACAACTGGTACTGAATGGTTTGCTTACAACCAGAGAATGTGCATGTTGGCTGATAACCACAATCTCAGGCATGTGGTACAACGTTTGTAAAATGGTTGGGGGAGGGGGCAGAAAATGGGGACTCCAGACAGTTTTGGAACATTTGGAAACAAGGAAGACAATGCTTATTAATTCATTACAGTAGGGAATTTCACTGCAATGTATTTGCTTCAAAACACCAAAAGAGAAATTTCCAAAAGTATTTCAATTGTTTGAAAAGGGATAGACAATTGTAAAATTTTAGAAATAAATTGTCCAAAAACCTGTCACTGATACTTTGACCCTTTCACTGAAAGCTGGGAGTAAGGACAAAGTGTTTGGTCTCCATCCAACTGTCTCACATTTAAGAGCTCAAAGACAGGAATCGTCACTCGGGCAGAGGATAACAGAGCAACAGTGCCAGCCATGGCTTCAGGAGAAAGAGACAAGGTGCAGCAAGCAGCCTCGATTCCACAGGTTTTTAGTCTGTGGTCAAAGGACCTCCTTCGTGCCAGGTTACAAAACAAGAGGAAGGCTCTCATGGTAGTCATGGTCTCTCGAGCATCTGAATCTTTGTTCCTTTTTCTAGTAACAGCAATCAATAGCATACTTGACATATCAAAAGGATGGTTACTGCCTTCAGGAAGATCAAACACATGATTCAGAAAAAGGAAAGGTGGGGTGAGTCATTATGGACTTTCTTCTACATAAATATTTCCCCTTCTACCTTGATATTCTACTTACCTCTATCTAAATGCCTGAAACCAGATTTAAAGAAATATCAAAATGAAGGGGTATCTTTTGTAAACAATGAAAATTTCCTAACCAAAACAAACCCCCTTTCCTCACACTATTTCTTATAGTTTCACATGATGCCCTTGAAAATGTGAAGATCTATTAGTATTTTATGTATTACTTAAAAAAAAGAAGTCAAACCACTCAAACTGCTGATTTTACTTGAATATGAATAATATAATATCTGGGAGGCAAGAATATAACAGAGACAAGCTGTGATTGATGTACTATTTAGATACAATGAAATTCATTAGTCAAAAATTAACTTTTAGTCAAAGGATAGGTTCGCTGCCCTAATTGTGCTCAATTCAAGATCAAAATACTCTTAAGTTTTTACCTGAGTGTCTATGAGAAGCCATTGTTCAGAAGTCAAGTTCAGGAGCAGCAGCTAGACCAGTCTTCCCTCAATCCCAGTTGATAAGGCTGTGGCCCATTTGTGAACATACATTTAAGGGGAAGCGGCTAACACAAAAATAACCGAGAGCAGATGTCCAACCCCTCCCCAGAGATCACAACCTTAATCCTACTAGAAAATTCTTAACCATTTTAGGTGATCCAAGGGAGAAGAATAGGATCCAGTAAAAATACCAAACACTACATATAAATACCTGCGGGGCTACTCAGCATCCAAATTAGCTCCAGAGCCAGAGAGGCCACACAGAAAGTCATCCCTGTACCGGAATAAATTTTGGACTCAGCTCTGGCATAGCTTAATGCTGAGCCAACCTTATTAATCTATTTTATATGCCTAAACAGCTTACATTTGGCCCTATAAATAATTCATTTTGGTGTTGTTAATGATAAAAGTAACTATTAAAGATAGACTTATGTTACAAGTATAATTAAAGACACACTGAATATAAAGATTAAGGGCATTATATAAGAGAGTCCTGGTGTGGTGCTGTAGGATAAGCACTGGACCATAAAGTCAGTTTGAACCAGACGGTTAGTGGTTCAAACTCACCAGCTGTTCCTTGAGTACCCTATACAGGGTTGCTATGAGTCTGTATTGACTCGATGGCACTTAACAGCAACAACAAAAGGGCACTATAGATGCTTAATGAGCTCTGGTAGCATAGTGGGTTACGAGCTGGGCTACTAACCACAAGGTCAGCAGTTCAAATCTGCCAGCTACTCCTTGGGAGAAAGATGAGACTTTCTGCTCCTGTAAAGATTTACAGCCTTAGAGACCCTATGCAGGGTTGCTATGAGTCAGAATTGACTCCATAGCACACCACCACCATCAAAGATCCTTAACTCTGTGTTCTCCTTGGTATATACGAGTGATCAGTAGAATACTGAAAAAGGGAACAATCCTATCCATGTTCTTGTTGTTGTTTGCTGTGGAGTCGGTTCCGACTCATAGCGACCCTGTAAAGGGTTTCTGAGGCTGTAAATCTTTAAGGGAGCAGAAAGCCTCATCTTTCTCCCACGGAACAGCTGGTAGTTTCGAACTGCTTACCTTGCGGTTCGTAGACCGATTCGTAACCACTATGCTACCAGAGATCCTATCCATAAGCAATTATATTTCCTTAGCAGCAGACAGAGGAGAATAGGACGGAGATGTATATATAACCCAGTGAACATACTTCTTCCTACAAAATCTCTTGCTTTTCACTGTCAGGGACAATGAAAGGAAATATGAATGCAAATGAAGACATCATCAGACCATGAGATGGATGGAGACTGGTTACCAGCAACCAGTTTCAGGAAAAGCCAAACTCCTGAGGCTATAAGTCCCTCTGTGACCCCCTCCACCACTCAGCATTCCTCTGGTCTTGTCCCTTGTCCCCCTTGCCATGTCTCCATTTGCTCTAGCCTCACTAGCCTCCAGATGTACCCTCACTTCAAGGTCTCAACACTGATTCCTCTCACAGCTGCTCCTCTACTTCCTTTAAGTGTGCCCAAACCACCTTTTCAGTGTGGTTCTCCACAGTACTTAGGACCTTCTAAACTACTGATGTCAGGAGCTCTGGTGGCAGGCGTGTTAAATGCTTGGCTGCTAACTGAAAATCTGGTGGTTCAAATCAACCTGGGAACTCCACAGGAAAAAGAACTGATGATCTACTCCAGTAAAGATCAAAGGCAAGATAATCCTAGAGGGGGCCTCATTACCATAAAGAAAGAAGAGCCAGGCGTGGAGCCCACCCTTTGGACCTCCTAAATAGCTGCGAAAATGCATTTCTATTTGTTAAAGCCATCCACGTGTGGTATTTCTGTTAAAGCAGCAGCAGAGAACTAACACAGAGTTCACTCATAGACACCTAACCACCACTACCACCATCACCTAGTTGGTGTTGTTGCTGGTGTACCGTGGAGTCGGTTCCAACTCATAGTGACCCTGCATAAGGTTTCCGAGGCTGTAGAGCTTTATAGGAGCAGAAAGCCTCATGTTTCTCCTGTGGAAATGCTGGTAGTTTCGAACTGCTGACCTTGAGGTTAGCAGCCCGACTCGTAACCACTATGCTACTAGAGTTCCTTATCACCTAGTTATTGCACCTATTTGTCTTGCATGCTGTCCAATTCTCCCCTCTGCTCCACAAGGGCAAGGATTTGGCGATGGTGTTCAGTGTGCTGCCCAGTTCTGAGGCTCTTGATAAGTAGTTTGTTGAAAAGTGAGGGAGATGTAACAAGAAATGCTAATCAAGACTCATTTTAAACCAAGCCACGATCCCACCTAAAATCCTAAAAGTAGCTTTGGTCACTGAACTTCAAGTAAGGCAGGTGAAGACTGAACTTCAAGTAAGGCAGGTGACCTTCACTCTGAGACAGGCCCCAGCTTCATAGTGCCTGTCAGTGGCTTGGGTCCTCGTCACACATCTCCCCTAGCAGACAGAGGGCCGGAGCTTACTTGTTCTCATCAGCTCACAGCATATAGTAGGGAAGCTTCATGAAAAAGGGGGTGAGTGAGTTTCACAACTTTTATGCTCTTCAAATGTGTAATCAAGTGATTCTAAAACAGAGTTGACATTGTCAGAAATTCCTGGTCAGCAGGGAAATGACAAAACAATCAAAGTCAGGATGTTACAGGCAAATCTATTGCATGGTAAGGGAGAGAGAGAGAGAGAAAGTCTGGGAAAACCATGCTTCCCTTCCCATCCTCCTCCACACACACACTTTTTAGCTTCTTTGTTTCCCAGGCTGATTGCATTATTGCAGGGAGATTGGCTGGCTTTGACAATACCACACCTCTAAAATAAATGTAAACTTTCACCTACGGGAAATGTTCATATTTTATGAGATGATTAAGCTTTATGAACCCTATGATTTATTTAGGCTTTAGTGAAGCATAGTTTTAGGAAGAACCCATGTATTCTTTTAAAAGTTTGCATTGTAAATTCAGTAAAAGTTTACAGACAAGATCATCAGTTTGACATTCAACAAATCACACACTTGGCTTCATCTCAATGATTGCAATTCCTCCATGCAAGTTGCCCCACTTCCTCCCTGGGGTTCCTATTTCAATTCTACCCTCCTTCCCATCCCTTCTCAACTTTGTCCTTAGGTAGATGTTGCCCTTTTGATTTTGAATGATGGACCATTCTATGGTGAGCATACCTTACTTACTAGTGTTGTTCCCACCTATAAACATATCTATTAGTTGCCCAAATATCAAGCCACAGAGATGAGTTCCTTTCTAGACTTGTAAAGTGCCCGAAGGCCATTGTCTCAGGTTTCCCCAGTCTCCTTCTGATCAGTAAGCTAAGTCTTTTTTGAAAATTTTTTTTAGTTTGTTCCACCTTTTTTTCCCACTCCAGGACCTTCTAATGTGATCCCTTTCATAGCAGTTGGTAGTGGTAGTGGTGGTTGTTGTTAAATGCTGTTGAGTTGGGTTCTGATCCATAGTGACCCTGGATAGGGTTCCTGAGGAGCAGCTGGTGAACTTGCACTGCTGACCCTGCTGTTGAAACCAACCTCGCAGTCCAGCACAACACCAGGACTCCGTGGGTAGTGGTAGCTGGGTACCATCTAGTGCTTCTGGTCTCAGGAGTAGAGACTGGCGTTCACATGTTATATTAGACCACTGGACTAATTGACTGCAAGCTTTTGTAGCAGTCGTTCAGGCAAAAAGAGTTTGATTTATTTGCTAACTTCATACAGCTATACGAGTATCTGTTTGTTTGACATATTTTGGGCACTTTTCAAAATGATCAGGTTCCCTAAAGGAGCTCCTATCCTGGCTGAAAAGGAGCTCTGGTAGTGTTGCCACTCTTCTTTCTTCCACACAGCCCATATATTTTTCTAATGCCCCTCTGGTAGTAATGATTGTGTGGCATCAAGTCAATTCCGACTCATAGTGACCCTGTATAGGGTTTCCGAGGCTGTAAAACATTAGGGGAGCAGAAAGCCTCATCTTTCTCCCGTGGAGTGTCTGGTGGATTAGAACTGCTATCCTAGAGGTTAGCAGCTCAATGCGTAACATACTATGCCACGGAGTCAGTACCAACTCAGGGACCCTGAACAGGGTTTCCAAGGCTGTAAATCTTTACAGGAGCAGAAAGTCTCATCTTTGTCCCATGGAACAGCTGGTTGTTTTGAACTGCTGACCGTGACATTAACAGCCCGACTCGTAACCACTATGCTACCAGAGCTCCTTTTCAGCAAGGATAAGAGCTCCTTTAGGGAACCTGATCATTTTGAAAAGTGACAGAAAAAGTCTAACAGATGTATACTCGTACAGTCGTATGAAGTTAGCAAATAAATCAAAATCTTTTTGCCAGAACGACTGCTACAAAAACTTACTTTCTGATCATCAATCAAGTAATTAGCTAGGGCATGAGCTGCCAGCTTGACCCTACAAGAACAGCACTGATTCCACCTACAATGTATATCAATTAGGTAACTCCGCCTTCCTAAAAACCTCATGAAACCTGACCACTGCTGACTCCCAACACTTAGCCCCACTGTCCATGTCCTCCAGTCATAAAACCACACCATTTACAAAATTAAAAAAAAAAAAAAATTAAAAGCCCTTCAAAATGTGAAAAAAATAATGTCTTAGTAAGAATAATTGATAACTTTGCCCTATCTTTGGATCAGTGGTTCAGAAATCTTGGTGGTTATTTTAGTAGATAGTTAAAACCTGAACAAGTCCTGGTTTCATTACCATCAGAGTCAACAGTTAACAGTATGATGTTTAATAAATGATATCGTTAATAAGCACTGGACTGCTTGCAATGCCATTTTATAGACTGTTGGTGATAATGCCAGCTGGGGTTTGATGAACAATTCTCTTTAGTGTTTCAGACCTTGTGTTTCAGATCTGGTAGTCTTGTCATGCTCTAGAATGCATCGAAATTTTTAGTGAGTGCTAAGGCATCAAAAAAGGAGCTCTGACAGCGTAGTGGTTATGAGTCGG